TATGTATATGAGCAAATGTCACTAGTTGCTAAATTTTTTGACAAAAAACGTGTTTTTGGGTGAAAATGGTGTTACAGCTATCATGCATTATCTTCAGTTTAAGAGTTAAAGAACAAGATTCCATCGCGAAATGGTATTTAAATGAAAACTAAAAAAAGTAAAATTAACCACCCATAATCATATACCCATAGTTGCGTTTTTGTAACGTATACGCCCCGTAGCACCAAGCGCAGTAATCTAACACGTTTAAAGCTTAGTAGGTCTAGACTTAACTTAATTTGACTTACCGTAAGAAATCATCAATGATTACTCAACACGTCAACTTAAGCCAGAAGCGGAAATATATATTTTTTTTCTCTTTCAGCTCTTTGACAGTTTGCCTTCTAAAATGCCAGATCAAAAAAATTCGTGCAAAAAAAAATATGTTTCCGTAAATTTATTTTTGAGAAATACAAAAACAAAAAATCTGGCAAGCCTGATTCTCTCACAGCTCTCAATTTCCGTAAGGCCGTAACTTAAGAATCTAAAATCTACAGGTTCTTCAGTTGCTAACGGTAAGTTAAGTTTTCGCTAACCGCCAACACAGTTTCTCATATAACAGGTTGGCCAAAATATTAAGTTAAGTTGCGGAAATTAAGTCTAGACTAACTCTGCTTTTACTCGCACGGCTTAATTAAATTCTAAAGCAAAATTGTAAAATAAAAACTAAAATTGTAAAAGTAGTTAAAGTAATTGAAGTATCTTAAATTATTAAAATGAAAAAAATCATAACATTTCAAAAATTACAAAATAGCTGCTAATATTTTTTAATTTCGTTTACTTGATTTACTTTTTATTGTACTTGTTTCTGGAACTTTATTGATTAAAATAAATGTAGGAAGTATACTTTACTTTTATACTTTTTTTTCTGCCGAGAGAAGGGAGTGACACTAAAAAAAAAAACAACTCGTTAGATTTGCGAACATTTTTCGGTAAAATTTTTAATTAAATTGAATTTAAAAAATAATTAGGGTCTATAAACTAAGCTAACACCGCTATTAGAAAAAAACGTTTTCTTTTATTTTAGTCGGAAATTGGGGGGTGTTTCACCCGGGCCCGATTTTCAAAAGGGCCCAGATTTTTTCCTAAAATTTAGTTAGAAGTTAAAATAATATAATATTTGGTTAAGTTGATAAATTTGATTATTTACACAAAAGCTACACATGCAAATGTAGTAAGGTCATTTCCATGCTGGTCAAAGCAACACCCATCTGGCCTGATGTGAAACCTAGAAAGGTTACCCACACATTCCGAAGTCAACAGATATTTTCTAGTCTTCAGATACTTCCCGAGCGTGACCGTTAAGGAATCTATATGCCGTCTAAATACTGTGATGGTGAGGATTGGTTCCTAATTCGTGAAACTTTTGGAACTCGAAATTGGGGAGCGATCTTCAAAGTTAGTCGGGGTTATTTGCAACAGTAGAAAGTCAAAATTTCAGTATACCAAAAGCAATTCTCTCTTTAGACGAAGTTTTTCTATAAAAGAAATCATACTCCACATACTACGAGCATAAAGGTAAGACAAGTTAGCATTTTTCAAAAGCGCTGCACAAATATATAGTGATAACTTTGGGAATTCGTTTAAACATTTAAAATTTGTTTGTAAGTGTGAAGGATTTTATCTTTATGGCCCTGGTTGCAATAAGTGCAAAACTTTTTTGACCCAACTATTTGGGTATGCGTAAACCTCTCGTGAGTTCCCGGTTTTAATGGATAAGGTGGCAAAGTACTATAGTATGTCCGACTGAGAACTATCTTAAGAAGTGGGAGAATTATCAAGTTGCCGCCAAACAACGAATTACAAAAAGGAAAGGCTACTTGTAAGTTTTTACTAACTGACTAACGGAGTTAATCCCAGCGCATATGATAGACATTCTGAAACTTGAGAAGTGCTAAAATTTTTAACAGCTCAAGCGTGTTTTGATTTGTATTGATTACACCGTGCGACAGTAAATTTTACGCACAAAAGAATAAATATACTCGCGAAACTATTGGCCAAATACTATAGTAAAGCTGCGTTTTTAGTTTTACTCACTGGCGTTAGGATTTTGTTTAAAAGGACTTTGATTTTTGGCAAATATGATTCATTCAAAAAATTATTTAAAACATATAGTGCAATGATGAATAAAATTATGGGTATCAAATTAAAGAGAAAATTCTGTAGAAATAAAGCCGATTGGAGTTTTTGGTGCACAAGGACTATTAGGTATTGGAACTATCCTTTTAAAATTGTATCCTTGAATATACTTGAAATTTTTCAATAATTATTTTTGAAAAAATTATATGCTAAGTACTAACATGCACTCGACCACATCTTCGAATTTCGTCCTTCTAATGTTATAAGCTTAAAAAAATAAAATTAATTAAAATACCATTTTCAATACCTATTCGTCCTTATGAACCAAAAATTTTCTTTTCTTTTAATTATTCAACAGTGCACAGATTTTTTTTAAATATCTTTTGGAATAAATCATATTTTTTAAACTTCAAAGTCCTTTAAAAAAATCCTGACGTCAGAGAGAAAACCTACTTACTATATTTGGTCTACAGTTCCGTGAGCACATTGACTGCTTCTTGTGTTACGAAATTTTATTGTTTTTGTCGCACGGTGTTATAGGTCGATAGATATAAGTAATAGGACGGAGCGGAAAAAATTTGCATTTCGAAATTCCAATAGCGGGGTATCGTCTAACATGGATATGTATGTACGTAGGTTTGTTTCTCCATATAAAATATTGTGTATGGAACCAAATGCTGAACAACAACAAAATCCTGAAATCAGCTGTATTTTGTAGCTACTTTAAACTTGCACTTTATTTTACTAAATTTAATTGACTAAAAATCTGCGTACGTAAAATTTTTCTACAATTGATTTTGATAAATTACGTTATTTTGTTTAGAATTTGCAGAAATCTTAAAATTTCAATCAAAAAATGGAAGCAGAAAAGTATTGCCCGATCTGAAAAAAAAATTTAGGGGTGTTTTATTGACATCCAAAGGCAACGATTGCCGCTATAAGAATTTCGAAACGTAAAATTTCTTTTGTTACCGCTCTACCCTAATATGTGGGTCGCAGTACTAAAATGCCTCTAAAAATCTTGACAGCGCGTGCTGGAATATAAAAGACATGGTTCTTTCTTGAATCTATTTTTTTTCGACTAAAAACCGTATCATTTACTTAAATAACTTATAACTTTTTGGCGAGAAAGAGCTTTAAATTATCATCAGCTATAGTTTATTACACATTTATGCGCACACAAATATTCTTCTCCTCTTGTTTGCTATACCTATTTGAATATCAAGAGACTTTCATCGATGTAGCTATAATTTTACATATGTATAAATAACTACACCCACGCAATTTAACAACTCGTTTGCATTCCCATTGATCGCTACATTAAAGCCTGATTTTTTGCCACTCAACCACCAACTAGTCAGCCAACCAACCAACCACCCATTAAGCCGTGGCAAGCGTGTACTGGCCATAAGACTGCTCAGATGAAGCCTAACTAACTCGTTTAGCGAGTTGCAACAGAGCTCAAAAGCAAGACTTACCTTTCGTTGAAGCCACAAATATTTGCGAGAGAGAGGAAACTCGTTGCTAGCTGAAAGAAAAAATGTTTAAAGAAACTGGTTATTGGTAAGCGTGTAGTTGTGGCTAATTGTATATGTGCATGCGCGCGCGTGGCTGCATGTGTGTGAAAAAGAGCACCCTAATACATATAAATGCATGGCGCAGCTATAGATAAGAAATCACCAACACCTGCGCGCGCGCTCACGTTTCCGTACACAACAGTCCTAAGTTTTAGCGAATCGTACAACGATCAACGCACATATACAGCGCTGCCAACTGATCGCTGCTATTGAAGGTGTGTATAAATTTCAAACTGTACGCGCTTATGAATGTACATCTACCGCGCGCGCTCTGCTACATGCCGCTTATCTGTCATTGTATGAGTGTGTGTATGTGTTTGTATTAAGGTGAGTGAAGCGCTGAGTGAATGAGCGCATACGCCGACACGGCGCGCTCTTATCCATTTGGTAAGTGTGTGCGTATTGAACTTATTTTTGTTGCCGGTTTCAATTGCTCTGTTTGTTGCACAGGAGGTCCGCGTCAAACCAGCAGCGCAATAGCCTTTTAGTTGTTTCGTGGTCTTACTCAACATTGTGCGCGCCCTTAACGCAAAGCCTTCGTTACGCGCACTTCATACACTTACTCATCAGAATCTGTAGCATTGTAGAATATAGAGCTGCAGCAGCGGCAACTGTGCAGCAGCTTACTATTGTGTGTTTTTCTTTGCTGTTATTTTTTTTTGTCGTTCTTTGTTTGAATAAAATTCTCTGCTAGTCGTGTTTGCGAAACGAAAGCGGCGAATGTGCCTTATCGCAACAAGAAAGTGTCGGCAATCAATAAGCGGTGTTGTTAGCATAATTTATCTACCAGCAGTGGAAGTGCGCGGAGACAGACTGAGCGAAATTTGCTTTTGAACAAATAGAAAAATAGAAAACTTTACAAAAACATTGTGCCTAAATAAGTGCTGTAATTGAAATTGCAGTGCGCCTCAAGAAATGTATGTATTTGCTTTCGACGCGCGCATGCATTACAAATTTGCTTAAGAATTGTGTAGTTCAAGCCGCCGCTGCCCGCCGCTCGTAGGTCGTGCCTCGTGCTAATTGTACACACTGTAAACACGCGCGTTCAAAAGCCTAAATCAACAACGCCTGTGTGGTCGCCTAATCAGCGGTTGAGCCTTCTGCTCAAAAGAAAAAGAAAGGAAAAAGAGAAAAATATTCAGAGCGTAAGTGTCAGTTAATGGCCGGCGTGGCGCCGTCAAACCGTCCAAGCGATATTTTGAAGTGCGACATCAATCCCGCCAGCCAGCAATCCGCACTCTTAGCTTGTTAGCATGCGGACAGGAATTTTTGAAGTAAGATCGATTTACTTGGGTATAGCTTTAATAGCAAGCCGAAAAAGATAAAGTGCGCGTCAGCGACCACGACGAACATTTGAGAAGCGGTCACAGCCGCGCGGGTGCTAGGTTCACGTACAAAACGGATGGGAAGAAAGCGAAACAGGCAAGTCTAGTAGTATCGTAGATTTTCGCAACACATCCTTCATCAAGCAACGGGGCGAATATACGCCAACACACCTTACAACAACTACAACAACAACCACGCGCGCTGCATCCAAACCGCAGCTAAGGCGTACTAAGGAGTTGTTACCGACCAATTTGTTTGTTAATATGTACGTATTTGACTCTTTCCTTTCATTGCTGCGGTTGCAATTGGGCAAAATTGCTGGGTGTTTTTGTTTTTGCTTTTGCTCTTGTACCAACGTCAAATTCGATTTTTATGACTTTTTGAGCGCGTGACTAAGCGGTGATTTATGGTGGCGTATGGTTTTTAATATTCATGCGCTCGCCGTGGCAGCTTCAAGAGATAGCAGACCGAAGACCGAAAACGAAAACGAAGAAGAAGAATAAGCTGCAAAACTAAACACCAACCACAACAACAACACGTTCACCCCTGCGCGCGCGCGTTCGCTTGAGCTTGCGTTTAACGGCAACAAGAACGATAATAGTAAAAGCAAAGCGCATAACTGCCTCAACAACAACAACAAAACCGTATTAACAACAACAGCACTGCCAATAGCCACAAGCGCGTAGAGTTAGTTGCCAAGTGAGTCGAGCTTAACTCGTTAGAGCTTGCGTAGGTGCGCTTGTCCAGTAGGCAGGCGAGCAGGCGGACAGTGAGCCAGCACTCGCCGCATCCAGCTGGTTAGCCAGCAACTCGACGTCGTTCATTTCGTTGTGATATCCTGCTGCGCATGCGCAATGGACTCCTCCACGAGTAGCCGCACAAATGCCGCTGGCAATAGTGTGCAGCAACAGCAACAATTGCAAAATCATGTGAAGCAACAACAACAACAATTGCATCTGAAACCACAACAACACCCACAGTTACGACAACAACAGTCACAACAGCAATCACAAGCACAGCTAGCGGGCATGCAGCAGGGTCAGCAAGAACAGCCGACGCAGACGCAGAAATTGCCACAACAACAACAATTGCAGAAGTTCAACCAACAAATGCAGCAGACACAGCGCCTGCAGCAGCAATCACAGCAACGGCATGCGCATGCGCATGCGCAGACAGCGGTACACTTTTCCTCGACTGCAGCAGTAACAACCACAGCTACAAACACAGCTGCCATAGCAACGCGCATCAAGGAGGAACTGTGCGCCGCTGAGCTGCATGCCACTTCCGTTGCCGCGGCGCTCGAGCAGCAGCAGCTGCAACAACAACGCATAAACAACAATAATATAAGCAATAACAACAACGCGCACAGTGGCAACAACAATACTGGCAATATAAGTAATATTACAGCAGGTGGCAGCCATCAGCATCAAAAAGCAAACTCAACAAATGCCAACACCACAGCGGTTACTGCTTCGGCTGTCGCGGCCATGGCATTGGCGTTGGCGAAGGAATCGAATGACGCCGGCGGCAGTGGTCAGCAACAGCTGGGCAATCTTCAACTCAGCCTTGGTGCGCAAACTCCCCAACAAAATACGGGCAATAGCGCGTCTCTTTTGCAAATGAATAAGTCCAGCCACAGCGGTGTGAGCGGCGGCAGTAACTCAAGCAGCGCAAATAGTACCGGAAATACAGCCGCGCACTGCAACAGTGTGAACAACAGCAACACTACTTCTGCACTATCGAGCGTTTCGACGACGCCCACCACTACCACCACTAACGATCTCGCCGCCGCCGCCGCTGTTGTACTCTCCTTGCAGGGCACCATGGTCAGCAGTCTACAGCAAGCGGCGCTATTGCCCGTCAATTCTCCCGCCGCCGCGGCGCTCAATTTGCAAGCTTTGGAATCGTACTTGACACTACAGCGCATCACCGGCAAATCGGATGTTTTTCGCTTCAACACAATAGCCGCAACTAATAGCAACAACAACGATAGCGCTGGCGATGCAAACACCAACAACAGCAACACAAATTCCTCCAACCTTACTGATGAAACTAGCAATAATAGCAGCTACAATATAGCAACAATGTCGGCTACAGCGCAGTCACTACAGCAGCAGCAGCAGCAGCAGCAACAAGAACTGCCTACGCTAGACACCGCGCACATTTGCCTAGAGGCGTCCAAAGCGCAGCGCAACGTCAGCACAACGAATGCCATACAGACACTGCTGCAGAGCACAGGCGCCACCAGCAATGAACTCAGCGCCAGCGACCTTGGCGACTGTGACCTGCCGCTGCTAGACGGCGACGAGGGACTTGCCTTTGAGGCTGGCGAACTGGAAAGCAGCTATAATAATTTCATATTCAATAGTAATGCATTCAATTGCATCACTCAACAGCAGCAGCAGCAGCAACAACAACAGCAAACGCAACAACAGCAGCAGCAGCAGCAGTCGATTGCACCTGAAATCGAGTCTATTTCCACGTTGCAGGCCACCATGTTTCAAGACAAGCTGAATCACCAACAGCTCATCGCAAATGAAGGTGTCGCTGCAAGCGCGCTTAATGAGGCTGTTGCATTGAATGCTAGTTCACCTGGCGGTGGCGGCGCGGCTGCCAGTGCAACTGTTGCCACTGCCGGCGCTAACACGCAACGCTCCAAGAAACAGTTCATTTGCAAGTTCTGCAATCGCCAATTCACCAAGTCCTATAATCTACTCATACACGAGCGCACACACACCGATGAGCGGCCCTATTCCTGCGACATCTGCGGCAAAGCATTCCGCCGGCAAGATCATCTGCGCGATCACAGGTAGGCAATGAGCGAAGAAATTGATTAAAACTGTAATGTAATTTATTTGAAGCAAGCGCTCGCATATTTATGTACATACTTTCACTCAACATCTTGCATTACATTCAATTAATATCCTATTTTCCCCTTCTTCCTCTTCACCCTCAGATACATTCACTCCAAGGAGAAGCCCTTCAAATGCGCCGAATGTGGCAAAGGTTTCTGCCAATCGCGCACACTGGCCGTACACAAGATCCTGCACATGGAGGAGTCACCGCACAAGTGTCCCGTCTGCAATCGCTCCTTCAATCAGCGTTCCAATCTCAAGACCCACTTACTCACCCACACCGATATTAAGCCATATAATTGCGCTTCCTGCGGTAAAGTTTTTCGTCGTAACTGCGATTTGCGTCGTCACAGCCTTACACATAACCTTTCGGGCATGTCTGCAGGTGGACTGGGCTCCGGCAACGAACATTTACTCTCAATGCCCGTAAGTGTGGCAGATATCTTCCAGTCAACGACTGGTGGCGGTACTGGTGGTGGTGGTGGTGGTGGTGGTGGTAATTCCATGACGACATCACGTAATTCGGGCTCAAAGGCTACGGTTGCACTGTTGCCAAATTGCAGCACAGTGCGGAATGCCGCCGCGTTAGATCTGATTGCTGTTACTGACTAAAGGCAGCTGCTGTTTCGATTAATGAAAGGGTAATATATGCATAGTCATATACATACATACATATTTACATAATAATAATAGGCCTTACAATTGTGATTGACACCACGTGGGACTGTTTCATGTCTACTTACGAAAATGGGTTGTTTTTGAAATAATCTCTAGGTACATAAGACGCGTGCGCGAGGCTGTAATAAGCTCAAATGGGCAATTTGGTATGCATTTACACTACTACATATACATACATAGTACATAGAAGATAGCAGCGCATACACGCTTAGCTGCGACATATCGTTATCGGAATACTTAAAGGCCCCATGTGCAAATATACTTATGTACATACATTGTAGTAAATAGCCGTTTAGGTGTAAAAAATGCCAGATAAAATTGTTCCAGTTTACAGTCAGTCCTAATCAAGCGCATTTAGCGTTAACGTTGTATGTATTTATGAATATCTCTTTCTAAAACATAAAATTTACATAATCAGAGTGAATTTTAAACCCATTCAATTTGAAATCAAGGTGACATTGCCCGAAATTCACTCGGAAGTGAATGGCAGAACCTGCCTGAATGCAAAACGTCAGTAGGGGACAGGCTGACAAGCGCAGCGCTATACGTGCTGCTTTCGATCCGAAACGCTGGCCTTCGTTCAGTCCCAAATGAATTATTTAAATCTTATCTTACTAATATTATAAATGTGAAAGTTTGTATGTTTGGATATTTGGGAAATCATCACGCGGAAACGACTGAACGGATTTGCATTAAATTTTGTACGCAGATAGCTTATGGGCCAGATTGGTTAATAGGATATTTTTTTAAGAGTTGCCACCTGTTAAAAAAGTTTCATTAAATTAAAACGCGGAAACGACTGAATAGATTTGCATGAAATTTTGCAGGCAGATAGCTTATAACCTACTGTAGAAAATAGGCTAATTTTTTGGAATAGTTGCCACCTGTTAAAAAAGTTTAATTAAATTAATACGCGGAAACGACTAAACGGATTTACATGAAAATTTGCACACAGATAGCTTATGACCTACAGTAGAAAATAGGCTAATTTTTTGGAAGAGTTGCCACCTGTTAAAAAGTTTAATTAAATTAATACGCGGAAACGACTAAACGGATTTGCATGAAATTTTGCACACAGATAGATTATGATCTAGGTTAGAAAGTAGGCTACTTTTTTTAAGAGTTGCCACCTGTTATAAATGTTTAATTTAATTAATACGCGGAAATGAGTTAACTGATTTGCATGGAAGTTTTCACACAGATAGCTAGGTTGAAAAATAGGCTACTTTTTTTAAGAGTTACCACCTGCTAAAAAAGTTTAATTAGATTAATACGCGGAAAAGTCTGAACGGATTTGCATGAAATTTTGCAAGCAGATAGCTTATGACCTACAGTGGAAAATAGGCAAATTTTTTGGAAGAGTTGCCACCTGTTAAAAAAGTTTTAATTAAATTAATACGCGGAAATGACTGAACAGATTTGCATGACATTTCGCACAGAGATAGCTTATGACCTATGTTGGAAAATAGGCTACTATTTTAAGAGTTATCACGTATTATGAAAGTTTAATTAAATTAATAAGCGTAAATGACAGAACTGATTTGCATGAAAGTTTGCACACAGATAGCTTATGACCTAGACTGGAAAATAGGCTACTTTTTTAGGAATTTCCACCTGTTTGAAAATGAAATTTTGCTCAAAGATGGTTTATGACCTGGATTGAAAAACAGGCTACTTCCTTAACCGGTTTTCCGATCAGAACGAAATTTAGTACACTTATTACGGATTTCGGAAGGATGGTCTTAGACTGAAAGTAAGTCCGATAACTCAAGGCCCCTCCCATACAAATTAGAATTTTCATATTACATACATATCTCTGGAAGTATTTGTGGGAGAGAACTGAAACTTGGTATAGTGATATCTATGTGAAATCAATGATAGCATTAATCGATTGATGTTTTAATCAGTTAGTTAATTCGATTAAATTCAATCTGATTACAGTTAATCATGATTAATTTTAACCTGACTGAACAGTTAATCGTGACCGCGATTAAAAACTTAATTTTTAATCATTAACTCTTAATTTGATCAAGTAGGTTTGGTGATTAATTAAGTTATGCTGGAATTTCCCTGTGCACACAAAGCAAGTTAATCCGGTATGGCTAAGTCGGGTTTCCTCATCCATCTAAGCAATTTCGTGTGCATTTTCATTAAGATATATACCAACAAACGTTTTACAAACTAGGTTTGTAAAAGTTCCCAGTTTATGTATTACTAATAACAATAATTATAATTTTTTTATATTATGTGCTTTTTATAAGCGTAAAACACAAAATAATTACTATAACTGGTGTTTGGTTTCAAACTCGGACAAACTAGAGAAATTAATCAGATTTTATTTTTAATTGGATTAACGATTAATGTTTTAAATTAATTAAACGTAATCGCAGCCAGCGATTAACGATTCAAAAAATGTTATCATTAATCGTACAGTTGATAACGACTAATTAATTTTAATCGTCAAACGCGATTAACATTTTAATCGTTAATCAGATTAACAGTTTTCCAACACTGTGTGAAATCATGTTCACATTCACGGAGAAAAATGGACGTTTTTGGAAAAGAGGCGTAGCACCTCCAATACTAGCTGAAAGTTTCATATTGCATATCCCTTCAAATGTTTGGGGTAAAGTACTCAAAGTTGGTATGGAAATACATATGTATGTATGTATGTGAAACTAATACCATACTCATGGAGAAAAATGAGAGTTATTGGAAAAGGTGATGTGACAACTCCCATGCAAATTGATTTTTCTATGCTGCATATCTCTGGAGGTGTTTATTGCAGAGGACGGGAATTTGGCACCGAGATGTGTATACAAAATTAATTCCATACTCATGGAGAAAAATTTGCGTTATTCGAAAAGGGTGCATGGAACCTCCCGTACAAATTTACTTTCATACTGCATATCTCTAGAGGTGTTCATGGTAGAGTACTGGACTTGGTACTGGGGTATGTAAAATCAATTCTAAATTCATGAAAGAAGATTAGGGTCATAAGAAAAAGGGGCGTGGCACTTTCTGTGCAAATTGACTTTTTCTTGCCACATATCCCTGGAAGTGTTTGTGGAAGAATACTGGAACTAGGTATGGGTTGTGTATACAAAATGTTTCAATTGCTCATGGAAAAAATGTGATTTATTAAAAAAGCAGGCATGTCGCCTCCCATACATACTAAAAATTTCTTAGTACATATCTCTGGAAGGATAGAAAATATTTGGAAGTATTTTAAATTTGTTATGGAGATTTATTTTATAAGTGCCGTACTGATAGCAAAAATTTCTTTTAATGGAAAAGGTAGAGCCGGGTTTGGCCTTATAATCTAAAGCTCTCTTGAGGCATTTGCTACAGTAATGAGAAGTGGTATTTTATCAAGGCCAGGTTACTGAATTTGAGTTGGAAATATTAGAACCCGCCGTGGCACCTCCAAGAAGGTTACATGTTTACGCGTCGTATACCTGGAACCATTTCAAGGTAAACTTAGAGGGATTGATATCTTTCGTATGCCTAGCGCGCAGACGAGATTTTATAATTGCATAGTTAAATATAAATGGCCTAAATACCTTAACTCGCTTAAAAAATAACGAGCTATAACAAAATGGGCACAGAAATAAAATTTAACTTCATTAAATTATTTTTCATATTTGTATAAAAGCGCGGGGTGAAACCCGCGGGTATAAGCTAGTTATAAATAAATGACGAATGCTACTCCCATCAGAACTAATTTTTTAATCAAAATTTTTTGAACTATTTTGTGTAAATATGCTGTTCTACTGACCATTAAAGTTAAGGTCGCTTCGAGTGGCTAAAAATGAAATGCTTCGTGATTTTCGGGTTATTCGTAATTTTTCCGGGATCGTTGAGAATTGGTTTCTTAACTCTCCCGAATTTTCCGGGAGCGTTTGAGACTTTTACGGTGCTTTTTCAGGACTTTACTGGATTTTTTATTTTTATTTTTCTGAATGTGTTTTACAATTTTCGGGTATATTTCAGATATTTTTTTCGGGATGCTCTGTATTTTATTTTTCAGGATATTTCGGGACTTTTTCGTGATTTCTAGGGACTGTTAAAATTTTTTTCGAAATCTTTGAGTTGTTTCGGACCTTTTATAATTTTGTTTGGAGGTCTTCGTGTTTGATTTTCGGTATTTGGTTTAACTGTCGGGCACTTTTCAATTATTTCTCGATACTTTCCAGAATTTTTTGCGACTTTAGGGAAATTTGTCGTTATTTATGTTTGAGGATATTTCAATATTTTTGCGGGGTTTTTCGGGATTCCCCGTATTTTATTTTTTAGGATATTTACTTTTGTGTGATTTCTAGGGACGGTACAAATTGTTTTCGAAACTTTTTCAGACTTTTCGGACCTTTTACATTTTTGTTCGGAGTTCTTCGTGTTTGATTTTCGGAATTTTGTTTAACTGTGCGCACTTTCCATGAATTTTTCGGTACTTTCCAGAATTTTTTGCGACTTGAGGATATCTCTGTATTTTTCGAGTTGTTTAGAGAATATTCGAATTTTTTTCTAGATTCTTCGTGTTTTGCTTTTCGGTATCTTCTCTGCAATTACGTGACTTTCGGCACTCTCGGAAAAGTTAGTATTTTTTCGAAAGTTTTCGTAACGTTTTTACGAAAGTTTCGTAATTTTCGGAAACTTTTGCGACTTTTCGGGATTTTTTCGCGCTGTTTCGGTATTTTGTTTTATCATTCAGGACATTTAGATATTTTTACAAAATTTTTCCGATTTTTTTAGAACTATTAGCTATAAATGTATATTTTTATGAAATCGTAACAAATATCTTGCCAACTTTTTTATATAAAAAAACCCTGAAATAGTCGGTAATAATATTAGAAAAATCAAGAGTTTATTAATTTGTTTTTTTTTTATTAAAATTACTTACTCGATGGATGTGTAATTTCGATTACTTCTACACACAATTTGGCCAATAACATCAAGCCAATCTTTCAATTTTCCCAGATTTGTGGTGTTCTTTGTTTCACATGGCAGGGTTTTACTTTCCTAAGCGCGAAATGTATATGTCGTTATTATTATTTCGAATAGCCTAATACCTACAGGTCAAGATAAAGAAATTAGCCAAAAACGTGGCAAGGAAGACTTAACCCTAGGTTTGTTAAACAAGCTATAACAAAAATTTACTCCAGCGTTTGCTGAAAGGTAAATAAACGCTCTGGGTACTTTTTAGTGCATAATTTCAGAAATGCCAAATTTTAAGTTACGTACTTACTGTTGTTGTTATTATATACTCCTTTTATTATTCGCATTCGCATGCAAAATAACTTCGTTTGTACCATAAAAAAAATGTAGTTTGGTCGTGTGTATCGACTCCAACCAAACCAATTAATCACACATATATTGATAACTGGCCAAATTTTCAGCTTTGGCGTTGGAAAATTAAGGCCTTTGCACAACGTTTGCCTATTTTGGAATAAGCCAAATGACGCAATTTAGGATCAGGTCGAATTAGAGCAAATAGAAAAAACCATTTTACCTGCAAAAAGTTTAATTTTGAAAAATGAATAATATACATAGATAGTTGGGGTCTTTCCTTTATTTCGATAACGATATGGATACATATACATATACGTATGTATTTTTTACTATATAGATATTACTCATATTTTTTGATTAGGCTTCCAAAT